GTGACTCGTGGAGAAGCACTTCGGAGCAACACCACCATAAATCGGTTCTGAAAAAGGTTAAGGAAAAGGCCAAGAAAATAAAAAATACTATAAAAAAACACGGCCACATAGGCCACGAACACGACGATGACGACGACGACGACGACGATGAAGAGACGGTGAATGATCATGAAGTCCATGGTGCACCGAGTAAGTACACTCTACTCTGCTCCTTGTTTTGGATATTGCATCGTGAGTTCAAATTTCGAATTTTACTGCGCTATCCATTTCAAATATTTCATGTGCAAGGTTCAGTTCGATTATCTGAAAATTTTGAATTAATTGTGCGTAATTATTTATTTCCATGTGTTATTAGTTTATGAATCCACCGTAGTGAGGAGTGTGAATCTGCCCAAAGAAAGCCACACCAATTTAGAAAGCCACATCAATTTAGAGAAACCGACCGATACGAGGGAGGATAGATACGACGATGATGATGATAATCAAAGGAATAAAGGAACAAACAAGCCTTTTGCTCCGGGCCGGCCGCAAACTGACCTGCCCGAATTGCAAAGCGGTATTAATCCGAATGCGGGCATGCCAAAGACTAAAAATCCTAATGCGGGCATGCCAAAGACTAAAATCGAGCATCTAACGGGCTTAGAAGAGGACCCTAATTCCCCCGAGAATAGTCCTTCGGATAATATTACACCCTCTAATTACCAGTCCAAAGTTGCTCATCCGGCAAGATCAGGTAATAACAACGTCATTTGTTTTCATATGTGCTACTAGTTAATTAATTGAATGACATTAAATTGTTACTAAGGTGGTATCGCTAAAGCTTTTATAAATAGATTATGAGTTTTTTTTGTTCATAATCTATTTTGAAAATGATCTTCTGCTTCTCTTAAAATAAGCAATTAAAATAAGCAACTTTGAGCTACAATTTGTTAAGTATTTATGACCCTATGTTTTCCGTTTAAGTTGATTTTTCAGAAAATTTGCAAATACGCTCAACTTTTAGAAATAAACATTATAAATTAATTTAACTCACAATCTATAACTTCTATTTTTAAGTAAACTTTTGCTTTTAGAAATAAACGAATAAAATCAACTCAACTCACACTATATAACTTTTGCTTTTAAACAAGCTATTGTGAAAACCACCTAGATGTTTATTAAGTGCGGTTTTTAAATGTTGTAGGTAGTAAAGAAGCAGAAGTTGCTCCACTTGTTAGTCGGTTCGACACTTTGAATGTTGGCGGTGAGTCGAAAACTGAACCGGAGCAAAGGTCTTCTTATACATGGAGCCATGATCAATTTGCTCCGCAGCCAACTCCGACCAAAACACAGTTCATTAATCCAGAATCTGCTAACCTGAAGAAAGATCAAGATCCTTCAACGATCGCCGGAAAAATATCCGCCACCACTTCTGCCATAGCCGATAAGGCTCTGTCAGCCAAGAATGCGGTTGCATCGAAGCTTGGCTACGGCGGTGGTGCTGCAGAAGCCGGCAATAAACCTGTATCGGCATCGGCAACGGAATATGCACACATGGTTGCGGAAAAACTGACTCCGGCGTACGAGAAAGTGGCGGGCGCCGGCAATGCTGTAATGTCGAAAGTCGTCGGCGGCGGCGGCGGAGATGCTGTGGGGGTGCCGGCGAAAGGAGGGGGGTCGATAGGGGAATATTTGGCGGAGAAGTTGAGGCCGGGAGATGAAGACAAGGCGCTGTCGGAGGCGATTACAGGTGCTTTTAAGGGAGAGGGACGGCCGGCGGCCGGAAAGGTGACGGTGTCGAAGGAGGTGGCGGATAGGCTGGGGCCGGTGGAGGAAAGCAAGAGGGAAGGGGAGGACGCGGTGGCGGCAGGGCTGGAGAGCTCCGGGCAGGGGATGGTGGATAGGCTGAGAGACGCCGTCGGGGTTTGGCTTGGCAAAAGCGCGGGAATGCAGACCGCTCAGGATTCCGTCTCCAGTTCATACGGTCAGGTTTCGTGCTTTTTCAATTTCAGCATTAATTAATTAATTAAAAAAGAAAAAAGAAATATTAAAGTCGTGTTTTTGTGGATGGCATAAAGTGGAATTAACGACTTTTATTTATTTTTTTATCAGTGAGCGGCGTTGGGGCGGGAACCGGCCAGGATTTTAGTGGACGAAAAAAGGACTGAAGATTAGTGTATGTATTTTGTTTTTAAATATTGTAAATTGGTGTTTTTTTTTTTTTTTTCTTTTTTTAATTCCGTTACTATATCAAGAACAGTAAATATTTTAATATAGAACTCTTTAATATTTGCTTTTTCTTTATTTTTATTATTTATTAAAATTCTGCATATGAGTCATAGATCATGCGTGTCGGCATCATATATAATCGAGCAAATTTCGTGCCACAATTTCCGAACAATTCAAATTGGAATGGAATATTAAATCGAAAATGAAACTCCATAATAAATCATATATAAATCGATGTGACTGCACGACTAAGTTCAATTTAGCGTATCGGATAATTTATTATAATTATGCAATTGTATTTTATATTACATATTACATGTAAGAGAGTTTACATGCTTGAAATGTCTTGCAACTAACATAATGTACTGAAAAACATGAAATTGAATCAATGCTTCAAACTAGGGTTGAAAGTTTGAAAGAAACTTTCTCTGATTACGATTCGAAAAGTTCCGATTTTGAATATTTTCCGATTTCTTTGGTTTGGATTTGGAACTATATAAAAAGAGTTGGAATTTTCAATCTCGGGTTTGATTTTATTTTCGAAATTAATTCCAATAATTCTGACTATTTTCCAAAAAAAAAAACACCATTAATATATTAAATTATATATACAACATCTTATTTATTTTACTTAGTTTAGAATAAATTAAATGTTATTTACATATTTTTACCTTAAGCGCCGTGTTGGAGAGCCAAAGTATTTCATTTGCTCTTTTTCACGTAGAAAACGACCTAGTTTCTCCACTAGTTTTTGACTTTTATCATTTCAAGAATTTAGAATTTTGTGATATTTGAAAATAGATGCCCACAAACAAAAGAAAATAGGTGTTTAGTGTAATTGGAACCATTATAGTTATTTTTAAAATATTAGCATTTACCATATGAGTAGTTTTAATTTTATGATTTTATGAAAGTTACTGATAAGTCTTATGTTTGAAAATTTATGAAAGTCTCTGATTTTTTAAAAACATGTTCAAACTTATCTAATTTCTGAAAATTCAAATTTTTTATGACTTTTGGAATTTGAATGAATTTCTAGATTTTGAAAATTTTGGAATTGGAATTTCCAAAAATTTTTTTTTTTTTTTTTTTTCGAAAAGATTAATTACGATCTGTTTTATCCGACTTTGACCCCTACTTCAAACAAAATTTGATGCGACAAAGTGCAGAGCTTACAGATAATTAATCAAATAAAATTCATAATGCAGTAGGGTTTCAAGAAAAAGCAAAAACCACTAAAAAGAAGAAGAGATATTGAGTAAAAATTGTGAGTGTATTTTATAGTTGATGATTTTCTCATGTTTTGTGCAATATCCAAAACAATTTATTTTCAAGAATCATACTTTAGAAAAATCTTTGAGAAAATTTAAAAATAAAAAATAAAAAAATTGTATATATATGTGTGTGTGTGTGTGTGTGCTTGAATTAATTAATAATGATTTATTTCTTATCTTGTGCAGGCTTCTGATCTGGTTTCTTGTCTTCCTTAGCAGGGCCAATAGACAAAATGTCAACTTTCCCAACTTTCTTCAATTTCTTAACAACTGCTACTGCGTCCATTTCTCCCACAACTGTCACCTTCTGTTCTTTCATATCTGCAGCAATGGAATCCACACCTGCAAATAATAATTTCATTATTTTTTTGATAAATTATTATTTAAAAAAATCAATTAATTGTTGGCTGATAATTAATAATGCATTGAGGCATATATATATGATCATGTTTGTAAGGTATATATATAATACCTAAAACATCAGCAGCTGCTTCAATTGCTTTTTGTCTTGTCTTCTCATCTGTCATGGTCAACACCTTCATCACTACCTTCTGCTATATTTAATTTGTCATCAGCAAAACCAAATCGTCAGAAAATATATATACGAACATGATTATAGTCATCATTGCTTGTTAGTGTGTGTGTGTGTGTGTGTGTGTGAGAGAGAGAGAGAGAGAGAGAGAGAGAGAGAGAGAACCTGAGCCATTACAGGAGAGAAGATATGGAAGATGGAAGATGGAGTGTTTGGACTTTTGAAGGGGTGCGTGCGTTTATTTTATTACTTGCTTTAATTTGAATATTTCATATAATAAGTTGTCTAATTTCTATATGGGAAAAGTCAAATATATATATTTCGTATAAAAAAAACAAAAAATTTGAAGCCGGGAGATGAAGATAAGGCGCTGTCGGAGGCAATAACATGCGCGTTTTCGAAGAATAGTAAGGGAGAGGAACTGCCGGCGGCCGGAAAGGTGACGGTGTCGGAAGAGGTGGCGGATCGGCTGGGGCCATTGGAAGAAAGCAAGAGAGAAGGGGAGGACGCGCGCGGTGGCGGCAAGGGCGGAGAGCTCGGGCTGCAGGAGTATTTGGTTTTTTTTTGAATTGTGTGAATTGGTGTTTGTAACATTGTGATCTTAGCTAAATCGTGTGCTTTGCACGATTAGTTAAACCAAATTGGATAATCTTTTATATTTTTTCAATTGTGTTTTATATCACATGTTATGTATATCCGTGAAAATTAATATGTTACACTGGATTCTTTACTTTGGAAATATTTGAATCGTAAATCTATACATATTTACATCATGGATAGATTTGAATCGTAAATCTACACATATTTACATCATATTTACGTGTGCATAATGAGTATTTATTTAATTAAATTTACAGTTCAAATTCACCCTGTATAAATAACCAAACATAGCATTTAATTCCCCCTATCAAAGTATCGTTTGTTTTAAATATTTAAAAAGATATGTACATACTAGACATATATTTATATACTATGTACACTTAAACTAACGCAATGTACAGGAAAAGCAAGAAATCAAATCAATGGAGGATTGGTATAAAAAGAAGACGCACACTTTCAACAAAAATAAAACAACTGAAAAAGAAGAGAAGATATATTGAATAAAAATATAATTCTTCACTAATTAGAAAAAATCTAGAATAAATAAATTAAATTAGATAAGTAAAAGCAAAAAATAAATCATGATTAATTATTTATAATCTTGCTAAAAAATTATGCAGGGCCAATTGACAAAACGTCAATCTTGCCAACTTTCTTCTTCACTTTGATCACCACAGTACCCGTATCCATCTCTCCAATCACCGTCATCATTTGATCATTCAAAGTTGCAGTAATGGAATTCACACCTGTTTTTTTTTTTTTTTTTTTTTTTTTTTTAATTAACAAATAATATAATTGTTGGTGGATAAATTCATATGAAAATTAAATATGGGACCTAATTAAAATTTTTAATTCATGCACATACCTACAACATCAGTAACTGCTTCCATTGCTTTCTGTCTTGTCTTATCATCTGTCATGGCAAACACCTTCATCACCACCTTCTGCTGTATATATATAATATATATTTGTCACGAAAACAAAAATATTAACATGCATGCATGATTTTGGTCATTATAACTACTTGAGAGAGAGAGAGAGAGAGAGAGAGAGAGAGAGAGAGAGAGAGAGAGAGAGAGAGAGAGAGAGAGAGAGTACCTGCGCCATTGCAAGAGAGAATTAAGCGATGGAAGAATATGGGAGTATTGGGCAAGGAGTCGGAAAAGAATGAAGCATTAGCTTACGATTGGAGGGGTATTTATAATAATTATATCTCTATTTAGTTTGATTAATTTAATTATGTTTCCTTTTTTTTTTTTTATAGAAGTTGTCTCTTTTGCAATTTTGTATATGGAAAAAGTCAAATGTAGTATATAGCAAGTCAAACTATTCATGGAACTCTACGCAAACAAAAAAAGGAAACTATATATATATATATATATATATATATATATATATATATATCTTGTCAAAGAAAAAAATCTCGACCTACCTAAATATTTTTAATTGTAAGGTATTTTAATTTGAAAAGTGGAATATAGTAATATACCTTTTAAATTTACATACCTTCTTTCTTTGCTCTTTCTATATTTAAATAAAAAGACGTACCATTCGGGTGCTAATTGAAGGGTGGTGTTATTTCCACCTTCAAAGTATATCTCAATTCACCACCAAAAATTATAAAATATCATAAATACCCTTCAAGTTTATAATTCATAACCCTTCCTTATATTCACTTAATTCTTATGTGTTCTAAGTTATTCCTATTTTTTTTATTTCTTTTTTAATTTTTTGCAATGAAATATTTATTCAAGATATTTAACCTTCCATATCAGTTGACCTATATATTATGTAATTTTTTTAGGAAACAAAATTATATTAAGCCAAACTGACCAATTCTTGAGGAATTTCAAGACCTTCCCATATAAGCACTCTTAGTTTATTTCTCAAAAAACGTGAATTCGTGCTTTTTTAACCTTTGAAAATATTTTTTTCTGATGACGAAAGTATTATTCACATAAGGTGGAGAGGATGAGTTTTCCAGTGAAAGAAGAAGAAATGGGTAAAATAGAAAATATATTTAATTTGATGGTGAAATAAGATATTTTGATGATGGAAATAGCACGTCTCTAATAGAATTAGGAAAACTTACAAAAATAAGTGGAGAATAGTATTTATATCCATCTGGTTTGAACTTTGTGCACATGATTGCCTTGTCCTTTCTATATAAAACATGATCCCCTTGTATTTCAATATAAATACGCAACCTCCTTGTAATTTCAAAATTTTCATCTTCCTAATAAACATGATTATTTAACAAGTGAAATAACATAGGAAGGGTATGTGTTTACATTAAAAATACAACGAATCATGTGCATAAAGTTAATACTACAGGGATTAATTTATTTATATTGAAAGTATAAGTAAGTCATGTGCACAAAACTTTAATTACGGAGAGTTTTTGCTAAAGTTTTAAGCCCATGACAAGTGTTATTGGTCCGGGCCTCGACAGACAATTATGAGTTAAAAGCATAATTTATAATAAATGTGTGGATTGAAAACAAATTCTAATCCCTCTTTAATTACGCTCTTAAAATTTTCCACTCTAGTTCTTCCATGACAAAATACATCGGGTTGAAAGAGGAGGAATTAAAAAAAAAATCATTTTGCAGGGTGTCGGACGGAATAGATGGAAAGTGACTTTTTCTTAAATTTTCAATTTTTTTGGGAAGTATAAAATGCGTTCTAATTATCTATCCAAAAGAATGGAATACAAAAATTCGTTCCAATTTTGGAATACCTCAGAATTGGCAGAATTTTGGAAATTGCGGAAATCGCATTACTTCATAACCTCCTGTTCCAAATTCAAATATAACGGAAATTTTCACAATACTTTTTAATTTTTTTACAGGAAAATGCAACCAAAGGGGAGTTCGACAAAACGCAATAAATAAAAACACATGTAGGAACAATAAATTGAAACATAGATTTTCTTACGAGAAAAAATGCAACATAAATTTTTTGATACCAATTACTCTTTTCTAAGATATTAATTTACTTGACCCTTCGATATTTATATTTTTCATATAAAATATAACACAAGTTATATTATAGGATTACAAAATATATCATAAAATTTTATTATATATTTTGAAAAACTATTGAAATATTCAGAACTAAAATTGGATCGGAAGTTGGAATTTCCAGTAATCTTATATATTATTCCAATTCCGTTCCAAATAAATTCGGAAGAATCGAAAATCGGAATGAAGATACGGTTCCAAAATCGAATATTTTCGGATCGAAATTGGCGCAATTTGAAAATTCCATTCCAATTTTCACCCGTAATACTACGAGTATAATTTTAGAAAATCCTATCTCTATTTCTAACTTATTGTTGTAGGTCTGTAAGAGCATCTCCAACCGACCTCCATATTGTCGTTTTTTCGGCCAATTTAGGTGTTTTTAGCATTGCACCGTAAATTTATGTATCACTATTACACCCTATATACCCAAATTCTATTATTCACCAAATTTCTTGGTGAAGAAATTTCATCTCCCACCTTTCCACCATCTTTCTATTTTTCCCACCAAATTCTATTTTTCCTATCAAAATATAGAGATGGAAATATGATTTATGTAACAATTTTATTAATTATCATATATGTATAAAATGATGATTTTAATTAATTGCATGTGATCACTAACTTATTAGCATATTTATTCTAAATACATTAGTTTGAGTTGATTGCATTTCATGTTTAGATACCTTTTTTAAAATTATAACATAATTTTAAATTATATAGTTAAAAATATCATTACTTAAAATTTGATCTATAATTAATATTTAGAAAATAAAATATACTAAAATTATGATGAACGTTGAATTTGTCGTTTTGTGACATATATAGTGAAAATATTACGGGAGACCAAACCAGATCCATTTCCTATAAATTGTGAAACAGTGAAATATTATTATTTTATTATTAGATCTAAAATTTGATATAATGCATGGGAAACTACGAATCAAAAATTTACCATTATTATTTTATTATTAGATCTAAAATTTGATATAATGCATGGGAAACTACGAATCAAAATTTACCACCAAAAATAGTGAAAATGATAATAAACCCATTTTTTGTTATCGTAAAAATGTAATTATGTGATAAAATGATCAAACCGGTGAGAGAAAATAAGAGATATCAAACGGTAAGTTCCAAATTTAAGAAATATCCAAATTTTAATTTTAATCAAAAAAACAATAACGGTGTATTACAGTCACCCTGAAATAAGGTTAAATTATCAAAAAAAAAATTATATATATTGTTTGTATATTTACAATCACCCCTCAACAATGATTCTTCTTATATGTCGACCTTGTGGTGTCAAATTTAGTGAAATCTTTTAGATTATATGGAATATTTTTCAATTTGTACCCGTTTTATCTCATTAGATCAGCTCTACATTTAGAAATAAGATGATCATAAGATGTGTTTTTTGGCTTCTATATATCAGATTGTGGAGCAATAGAAATTACATTTTTGCACAAAACGAATACAAACTAGAGAATATTCCACAAAACGAAATCTAGAAGATTATGTTAAATTTGACAGGGTAATTATACGATAAGGTTGGACGTGTAAATAAATTCATAGTTAATATAAGTAATTGTAATTAGCCGAATATAATTTTTTTTTTTTCCGTAATTTAACCTTACCTCGTAATATTTGAGCAGTTTATCCAAATTTAACAATATCTAGGAGAAATAATGGAAGGGAGTTATTCCTTGGGTTCCACAATTAATTAACAACTCCATAGAGCAAAAAAAGCAATGACAAAACATGAGAGGACCCCTCTTTTTGCCCCCATTTTTATTACACCATCACTCACGAGACTTTTAACAATTAACACGTCATCATCCATTTTCCTCTCTCCTTTTTTAGCTTAATTTCCTCCATCCCTTTTCTCTTTTTAACCTCAAAATCTCGTTTCACTTTCATTAAACCTTCAACTTCCTACTTTCCGACCACTCTCTCTCTCAACTTACTTCTGTCTGAAAAATAAAATTAAAAAAAGACTCCTTTTTTTTTTTCAAGAATCAATTTTTTTGTCTGAAAACTCTTCGATTACATCATTTATTAACCTTTTTTTTTTAATTAGCAGCTGGGATGAGTTAATTATTAATTAATATATATTTTATATTAATAATCAGAGGGCGACCCTTTATAGTCATGGAAGTGATCCGGCGGCCGCTGGCGAGATCTTCGCTGGTGGCGCTCTTCTTCGCCGTCCTCACTGTCGGCGCGTTCATCTCCACGCGCTACCTCGACTCCTCTGCTACTGCTGTAAGTCTTTCTGCTCAACTCTCTCTGCTTGTAATTCTTTTCGTGCGTTTTATTTTTAATTGTTATTGATTTTCTAAGGTTTATGCTGCCTGACAGTTGTTGAACACTAATCATTCCTTGGTTTATCTTCAGCCATTTTTTTTTTATTTTTTTCTTGAAATACTAAAATTGTTTATTGTTAATTACTAAATTTGATTTTGTTTCTTAGCTTCAACGGTGTTTATGGATGTGGTGTCGCTTGTTTGACTGATTACGTGTCATTTTGCTGGTCCTAAAGTCATTCTTGTGCATGTGCCCGTTGATTAATTATGGGTGCATCATATATATAATATATACTACTTACTATATGCAATCTTGAAAAATGTTTCAAATATTTATATATCATAAGTCCATACTAAATCAAGAAATTAAATATTTAGATAATGGTGTTGTAGACAGTGGCGGAGCCAACATATCTCCAGGGGGCCATGGCCCCAACATTTCTTAAATCTCTATTAGTTTATATAAAAATATAAAAAAAAAATGTGTATATTCGCATTAACAGCCCCCTCATAATTTTTTTAATGCATTCAACCCTGAACGTAAAATTCTGGCTCCGCTAGTGGAGCTAGTGGTTGCAGAGGCTATAAGTGGTAGTTCATATCACCGTAATTTTATGGATAAATTCCAGTTTCCTCCTTGTATTTTTGTTCGATATCAATTTACTTCATTTTACTCTCGATTGCATTAATTTGGCCCATGTATTTGAAAAATTGTCTCAATGTGATTCTCGCTGTTAATTGTCGGACATTTGACCTTAACACCGTTTGGTCTAAGCTCTGAAATTACAAAAACGCCCCCATCTAGTTTAAATAATTATCAAAAAAAATCAAGACAACGAGAAAGCATAGTCCACTTCGACAGTCGCAATTTATTATTTATTTTTTTAATTTTTTTAATAATAATTTAAATTGGGAGGGGTGATTTTGTAATTTTCAGACTTAGATCAAATGGTGTTAAGGTCAAAGGTTTGAGAATTAACGGCGAGGGCCACATTAAGAAAAAAATTCAAGTACAGGGGGCAAATCGATGCAATCGAAAGTAGAATGGGTAAAGTGATATCGAGTCAAAGTACAAGGGGAAAAGTGAAATTTACCCTAATTTTACACACGCATGTATGTGTATATGTGTATATGTGTGTTTGTTGATGCAATTCTTGATTTAGAAATTACACTTTGGAGTAAAAAATTCACTCAATAGCAAAAACATAGAATAAAAAAAATTCAAATTAATAACCAATATTCACTTCTTTGTTTCTCCTCTTGCAGTTGATGAATAGAAATGATTCGCCACAAATACAAACACTAACCACTAGGACAGCTCATAATCCTCCCAAACCCATAGACATCCCGTTAAACTGCTCCCTCGGAAACCCGACCCGAACCTGCCCCGCAAATTACTACCCGTCAAGAATCCCGGTCGAAAACGGAAACCTTCTAGAAGCACACCCGCAAGACCTTCTAGAAGCACCCCAATCCTCATGCCCCGACTACTTCCGTTGGATCCACGAAGATCTATACCCGTGGAGGGAAACGGGTATTACCCGCGAAATGATAACGAACGCAAGCCGAACGGCCAATTTCCGTTTAATAATACTCGACGGCAAAGCCTATGTGGAAAAATATAGAAAATCGTTCCAAAGTAGAGACACTTTCACCCTGTGGGGAATCCTACAGTTGCTAAGGCGGTACCCCGGCAAAATCCCCGATTTAGACCTAATGTTTGACTGCGTTGACTGGCCCGTCATCAAGAAGGAAATATTCTTCACCGGCACGAACTACCGGGCCCCACCCCCGGTTTTCCGGTACTGCGGCGATGACTCGACTTTTGATATCGTCTTTCCCGATTGGTCTTTCTGGGGCTGGTACGTGTGTGTTTCTAGTTAGTTAGTACGATAGTATTTTATTATTTTTTATTTATTAATGTGTAGTTGATTAAATTTTAGGCCGGAGATTAATATAAAACCGTGGGAAGGTTTGTCGAAGGATTTAAAAGAAGGGAATAGGAGAAGAAAATGGACGGAGAGGGAACCGCTTGCTTATTGGAAGGGAAATCCGAAGGTTGCTGCCACGAGGATGAATTTGCTTAAGTGTAATGTTTCGGATAAACACGATTGGAATGCTCGTGTTTATGCTCAGGTTTGAATTTTGATTCAATAAAAGTATATAATTATATATTATTGTAATATGGAAATTTAAAACCAAATTTAGGACTGGCGGAGAGAAACGGAAGAGGGTTTCAAGCAATCAGATTTGGCAAGTCAATGTATTCACAGGTGAGATCATATGATATATATATCCCCCAGCAATAGGTTATTTCTATGCTACAACCGGTGATTTTTTACCGTTGATCTACACACACCAATGTGGGTGTGTGTGTTTTTGTGTGTATATGAATGGTAAAGATTGGTGAAGCATAGAATAGACCCCGTGTAATAAAAACTCCCCGTGTTATTAAAATTTGCAAAAAAACCCCTATAATTCAATTAACTTTAGCAAACTTACCCCCTAAAACCTCGCCATTTAAGGTTACTTACTATATGAAATAAATTCTTAAAACAAAAATCAATTTTTTTTTATTTCTTTTTCATTTTTGGCAGATACAAAATCTACATTGAAGGATCTGCATGGTCGGTGAGCGAGAAATACATTCTTGCATGCGATTCTATGACATTGCTCGTAAAGCCTCATTACTACGATTTCTTCACGAGAGGTTTGATCCCTCTAAAACATTACTGGCCAATTAAAGAAGAAGACAAGTGCAGATCCATTAAATACGCGGTCGACTGGGGAAATAGCCATCAAGAAGAGGTACTCTCTCTCTCTCTCTCTCTCTCTCTCTCTCTCTCTCTCTCTCTCTCTCTCTCTCTCGCATGACCGTGTTTCTTGATTTGACAAATTTGACTGACAGGCTCAGGCGATTGGCAAGGAGGCGAGCAAATTCGTTCTAGAAGAGCTAAAAATGGATTACGTATACGATTACATGTTCCATCTATTAAGTGAGTATTCTAAGCTATTAAAATACAAGCCAACCGTGCCAAACAGAGCTGTAGAGCTTTGTTCGGAGTCAATGGCCTGCACCGCACAGGGGCTCAATAAAAAATTCATGACCGAGTCAATGGTCAAAGGGCCCGCATTATCGAACCCATGCACAATGCCCCCGCCTTATGACCCAGCATCTCTCCACTCTCTTATCGAAAGAAAAGATAGCGGAATAGAGCAAGTGGAGAGTAGGGAAAGAGAATATTGGCTGAGTCTTAACAATAAGCAAATGCACTAGTAGTAACATAAATCTTCTTTATAATTTGTTTTCTTTAATTTCACAGGTATAGTACAAATGAATGAATGAATATTCTTCCTTTGTTATATATACATATAGGACCACCATTGTTGAGTTTCAAGTTCGAGGGGATCGATTACTACAACATCGTTAAACTGGACAATCTTTTTTTTTTTTTTTTGTAATAATAATTCAGAAAGCACGGGCTTTGATGATGTCAAAGCTCATTTCGCTGGGGTCGGTTGCTTGGAGTTCGACTTGGATTCCATCCAATTCCCTTTTGAATCTGTCTTTTTGAACTGGCGTATACCATCTTCATTCTCACTATTGATGTATCGGGTGACCTAATAAATTAAAAATAAAAAAAAATAAAAAAAAGAGGTGAAGGAACGCTTTTCCGGAAAGTTATATGCTACATCGGGTATTGTTAACCGTAGATGAGGTTAAATAACCACCTACAGTTAACAATCACCCGGTGTTAATAGTTGGGTGTAGCATAGAATTTTCGGACGGATCCTAAAGCAACAAAAGGAGAGGAAATACTCTAAAAAGGAAGAATCTTTAATCTATCTATGTTAATTTTTGATAGGTTTATATATAATTACCATGCGATAAAGAAGATTTTGCTCTTCTGGCAATTTTCGGTGGTGATGAAGTCGAAATCGAAAACGGCGTAACGGCACTCGTCCGAAGGCAGAGAAGACGTGAAATCTTCGTAGCTTTCGTCGGGGCAGCCGAGTTTGTCAACCACCACTTGTTGGCCCTCGATCCTGAAGACGATGAAACGGTAGTTTCTCTTTGCTTTCAATTCCAAGAATTTTAGCTTGCACTCGTCCTCAACCGCCATTCCAGATGCCGAATTCGCCTAAACCAATCGTAAATAATAAATAAATAAATAAAAGTTATCTCAAATTAAAACAATATGTAATGCCAATTAAAGAAATGCAGAGGTTAATTACCATATTGGCTTCAGATCAAACGGTAAGAAAGATCTGGAAGAAAATGAAGATAAACAAAAAAAAAATTATAAGAAAAAAAAAAAGGAAAAGGAAGGAAAAGGGAAGATCCGAAAGAGAGAGAGAGGATAGATCCTTGAATGGATCGGATGAGAAAAGAAATAAAGGGAAATTTGTTTGTTTTATAAAAGGAGTGGGAAATGAAAAACGAAGGGTTCAAAATTGTCTTACCTCTTTCTTCGGTTCATAATTTTCCCTAATAATAATTAATAACCAACTTTTTTCACTCGTTAATTCTAATTTTCATTTAATTATATGGTGTAAGATCTCCTTCCAAATCCTACTTTCTTAGACGTTAGAAAAGTCTAACTGACATTGGCTTAACGTCGGAGAAGATGAACTAGACGACGAGAAAATAATAGTAGATCAGATAATTTTAAAAGAGAGTATTTTCATTGATAATGAATCGTAACCCTAACAGGGTTTTTACTCGTTCGTTTATAAAGAAAATTGTATATGACTATTTTCTGATATAATATCTCTTTTTTCGTCCGAGATTTACACTGATTGATTAATCATCAGTTCTAGTTTACATATTTTCCTTATTTATTTATAGAAGTTATACGAATATCTTCTTCTGAGCTCGCCACCAACCACTCATTATTCTTCTTGTTACGCGACCTATTGTGTGTTGACGAAGAGTTTGGCGATCTTCTTTGCTGCTAAGTTTTCTCTTAGCATCGGTCCAGTCCATCTTGGTGCTCGCCGTTCATAGGGTTCTTTGCTTGATGGGCTTAATTTCGATCGTTCAATTGGGCTTTGACCCACTAACTCTGGGCATGAAGACTTCGGTCCAATGATGTCGAACTGATTCCTATCAAACTCATTAACAATTAAGAATCATAAAATGGAATCCTTTATTTCAAATATACATATTCGGCCTACCTTCTTAATTTTGCATAAATTTAAATTATATGTAGAGTATAATATGTACCTACTATTTTTTTGGAGTTAGGGCCAAGAGGATGAGAGCAGGCCTAGAAAGGGCCCAAGAACTGCATAAGCTTATTATTAGTTGTACAAAATTTTCCAATCTTTTGTTTCATGCATGAAGTTTAAGATTAATTGCATTAAAATCCAATTCAATTATCAGGTAAATGACAACGATATCTAATTAAATTAGCATCCATCATCAAACAAAAGTACAAAACGACTGCGTGCAACATAAGAAATTAAAGTTGGATATATTCCTTGCTGTATCTTCAAGGTATATCTAACCTATTCGTGGGCCACGTCACCTGACATTGCTTCTATTTTCTGGCAATTAATCTCAACAAATTCTTCTGCTGGGGTTCACCACTCAGTCTCATCCACCCACTGCCTTTTTGTCTTCTTATTCTTAGGTCTTAGAGTGAGAACCAAGTCTAAATAAAGGGGGGCCGGGGCCCCCTTTTTATGGGCCCACACTTATTTTTTTTCTTAAGGTATTGTTAATGATGATGATTATATGAAATATATATAAACTTGTCAATTAATCAAATCGATAAATGATTAAAATCTTTTTTTTTCTCCAAAAAAATAGGAATCGAACCCCGATCTGCAGATTGCCGGCGCAACGCGCACACCATCACTCCATGCATTTTAATTTGTCATGGAGTTATGCCCTCGGACGAAACCGATTCTCGATAACTACTATGTAGAATCTATGTTTCTCAAAGTTTACATAATTTATAACTGTTTGAATATTCATCTTTACGATTTTCGTTGGGATTGAACCCTGACACCTAACGAACGATGACTACAATAACATTCATCGAGGTCGAGAGATGAACGCTAAGAAATGGATGCAACACCACATTTAGCTTTTAATTTAAATGTGACATACACAATCAAGGTAAAATGTATTAAGTATCTCGATTTAAAACATATTGACAATGAATCGAACTCGAATCGTTAGACGTCGCACTCTTCTTACTGCCCTAGTCAATTATTGAATTACAAGTGATGAGCCAATGGCCTATAAGGACACGAATGTGATTATACCACTAATTAATATATTAATCACGTTATTAAAGAATAAAAACTCAATAATCACCACCTCTTCTTTTTCTTTCCTACAATGTCCACCAAATATGAAGTCAACAGTCAACACACTCACATTTGATCTTCCACTGCCTTTTGATCAACTTTCCACGTGCTCCGCAACACACTCACGTGATCAGCGCGCGTACATCTCACCAATATACAAATCGCGTATCCATCAAACAAACCCCACTGCCAGCTCTACAACAGTACAGTTTCTGAAAAAAAAAAGAAATTCAAAATTCAAAAAATTCCCACTTCAAAACCACCTGACCCTTATATAACCCTCTCAAAAACGTTTCCTCCACACCACCAACCCTAACTTCGTCTCTGCAATTTCACACACACACACACACTCACTCTCCATCTGCATTTTCTTCTCTGTTTTTACAGCTCCGAAAATGCGTGAGATCCTGCACATTCAAGCTGGCCAGTGCGGCAACCAGATCGGAGCAAAATTCTGGGAGGTGGTGTGCGCGGAGCACGGCATAGATTCCACCGGACGCTACAGCGGAGACACCGATCTGCAATTGGAGCGCGTCAACGTCTACTACAATGAAGCCAGCTGCGGGAGGTTTGTTCCTCGGGCCGTGCTTATGGATTTGGAGCCCGGTACCATGGACAGCGTTAGATCTGGGCCGTACGGTCAGATTTTCCGGCCGGATAACTTCGTCTTCGGGCAGTCCGGCGCTGGAAATAATTGGGCGAAGGGGCATTATACTGAAGGAGCGGAGTTGATTGATTCGGTTATGGATGTTGTCAGGAAAGAGGCGGAGAATTGTGATTGCTTGCAGGGTAAGCTGCTCGAATTATGCATTTTTGGAACTGCTATTTGGTTTTTTTGTTCGGATTATGTTGTTATTTGAAGCTTTTAGGTTTATATCTCGAAGTTATGTATTTGGTTAAATTTATTTGCTAGTGTCATGTTGTTAGATCTATGATTTCTGATAAACCCTAATCTAATTGATAATTGAGCTCTGGTGTAGGAATTTCATGAATGATTAGCTGGTTTTAATCTGGGAATTGTAATAGATCATTTGGATTTTATCTTGGCTGACCGTTTTGTTTTCACTTAGACTGTATAATCGGGAAATGATCGAATGAATTAAGGCATGTACGGGAAGGTATTTCAGTACCTGAGTTTGCTGATGAGTTGTGAGTTTTGGGGTTGGTTTTGGTTCTTTACTTTTTATTTATTTATATCATGTGGGAAGGTTTCAAGAAGATTCTGCCATTTTCGTGATCCATTGATGGTTCGAGAATGTGAATTTGCAGCAAAGCATGAGTCCCGTAAGATTTTGCTGTAACGTCATATTTTAGTTGCCACTTATTTTCATGCGTGACTTGTTTAATTACCTTAGGTTTTAAATACCTAGAAGTCCATGTTTTCCCTTTTTAAAATAAGAAAGTTTAATTGTCACTGGTATGTTGTACTTGTTTATTCTCGTCATTTGATTTGATTTTTAAATGTTTTATGTGATAGAACTATCTAAATTGTTTCTGTGATTGAATGTGTTCAACATGGTCATTCTTAAGCTCTTTTCAACTGACTAAACCATCACTTTTCGTTGTTATAACTTTTCAGGATTTCAAGTTTGCCATTCATTGGGAGGTGGAACTGGATCCGGAATGGGGACTCTCCTTATTTCTAAGATCAGAGAAGAGTACCCAGATCGTATGATGCTTACATTCTCCGTCTTTCCGTCACCCAAAGTGTCGGACACTGTCGTTGAGCCGTACAATGCTACACTCTCTGTTCACCAGCTTGTCGAGAATGCTGATGAGTGCATGGTGTTGGATAATGAAGCTCTTTATGACATCTGCTTCCGAACACTTAAACTCACCACCCCTAGCTGTAAGTTTCAATCTCCTATTCTTTCTCAATGCTACCACTGAACTATAATTTTGCTTATGATTGTCCATTTTCATCGTTTACATCTTTTAGCAACATGGGTTTACTGTAATTAATTTTGTTATGGAATGTGAAATCTTGCGTTTCTTGATTTATATCTGATAAACATATTTTGTATTGACCCAGTTGGAGATCTCAACCATCTGATCTCCGCCACCATGAGCGGTGTGACATGCTGCCTCCGCTTCCCCGGTCAACTAAACTCTGATCTCCGCAAGCTGGCGGTCAACCTAATCCCATTCCCCCGTCTCCACTTCTTCATGGTCGGATTCGCCCCTCTCACCTCACGTGGGTCCCAGCAATACCGAGCCCTCACAGTACCCGAACTCACGCAGCAAATGTGGGATTCCAAGAACATGATGTGTGCCGCCGACCCCCGCCACGGCCGCTACCTGACCGCCTCAGCCATGTTCCGAGGCAAGATGAGCACAAAGGAAGTGGACGAACAAATGATCAATGTCCAGAACAAGAACTCCTCTTACTTCGTCGAATGGATTCCGAACAACGTTAAATCCACTGTGTGCGACATTCCGCCGACCGGTCTGAAAATGGCGTCCACTTTCATCGGAAACTCCACCTCAATTCAGGAGATGTTTAGGAGGGTGAGCGAACAGTTTACGGCTATGTTTAGGAGAAAGGCTTTCTTGCATTGGTACACTGGAGAAGGTATGGATGAGATGGAGTTTACGGAGGCGGAGAGTAATATGAACGATTTGGTTTCCGAGTATCAGCAGTACCAAGATGCTACTGCAGAGGAGGATGGTTATGACTATGAAGATGAAGAGGAACTTCAGGATGAAGCTTAAATATCGGTCGCTCTATATTATGTGTGTATTTTTTTTCGGGTGTTTTTGTTTTTGCGTTCGAGACTTTTTCTTATGTTTTCAATTATGTAGTTTTGGTGATTGGGTTACTTACTAGTTACTACTCGCTACTCACTAATCACTACTATTATTGCCTCCTCGGCATTTCTAATGTTTCTGATATTTTGTAATCTGGTAGTCGTTTGTTGAATATTGTTCTATTAGGTGATTTACGATCTGTTAAAGTTCGGAGCGCATGAAATTCGCAGAATTTGGTGTGAAATGGTTGGTAGATTGTTGGTTTGGATTTTGCTTGAATGGATTCGTGTTGATTTGGTCTAATTAATTCGTTTCGGTACCTAACTGGATGAAGAATTGAACCAATAATCTGAAGCTTGATGGAAAGATTGCAAGTGTAGCACTGAATTCTGAAGTATTAATTTTTGCATAAATAATCAATTGCAAGAAAACAAGTAAAGGCATCTTTCGATGAGGAAAGCACCCTTGCAGTTGCTGAGAAAGAGAAACCAACGTAATTTTGCTTACAGTTTTTCTTAAACAGAACATAGAGATGAGGTTTGAACAAGGAAGAACCAATTTTCTTTAAATTATTTTCATGGATTCCAAGTGAGAAGCAAAAATGTATATGATTTGAAACATACATACAAAAATAAAAATGAATACATAACAAAATTAAAATCCATAAATAAAATTATACATAAAAAAATATATCTGAATTTAAAAATACATAAAAAATTAAAAATTAAAAATAAAATTAAACTAGATAAAATGACATAAATAAAATTACAATACATAAAAAATTAAAAAATATACATTAAAAAAATTAAAACAAAAAATATATCTGATTCAAAAAAATACATAAAAATAAAAAAAAATACCTAAACAAAATTAAAATCCATAAATAAAATTACACAATCTGAATTAATAAATAAATAAAACAAATCAGAACATATGAGGGCCCAACCGGGTTCGAACCGGTGACCTCTTGATCTGCAGTCAAATGCTCTACCACTGAGCTATGGACCCTTTTATTAAAATTTTAAGTATTTATCAATATATTTAATATGTACTATTATATCTTTAATTTCTCCCAAACTATACATATTGTTTACAGCTTCTTATTTAGCATACATTATTCCTATATTCTTTCTTACAGGCTAAGTTAAAACAAACTTTTATTTTTCTACATTATTGAAATTTTAAAGCTTGAAACATAAAACGAAATTTATAATTAACCTCTTACTTACTTTTAAATACTGTTTAAACCATTTGATCCATAATAAAGTCTCGTGCGCACTAATAAATATGTTTGATTGCTTTCGCACACACCCAAAATATTGCATTCATCTTTCATATTTTCTATATATTTGTTTACTTTATGAAGATTTTCATTCAATCATCTCCTTTATATATCTTCCTATTTTCATATCTCATAGTTTAAGTACACCGACGAGGTCATTTGAACATCATCCAGCGTATGATCAGCCGTCAATATATGCACGAAGCCTTTTATTGAAATTAAATTCGGGAAATAAATCCCAAGTTTACAAAAAAAAAAAAAAAAAAAAGAATTAGCAAATAAATTACCTACATTGGCCATTTTATCTATAAGGGAAAAAAAAAAAAGAATGAAGTAAATTAAATTGGCGTTATTATTTTATTGTATGAAAACTTTGGTTGATGAGAAGTTAGCTTGATAAACTTGTGTGAGATTTGGATAGTGCAAACCCCAGTTCTGCTCAACTCCGGCGGGCTTCAGATTTTCATTAAACATGGCGAATATGTAAGTTTCGATTTCCCGGCCGGGCCTCTTCGGCGTTCCACGTCCGGACGACACGTGTCCGATCAAATTATTCACATACGTCTCGGCGTTCTCTACGCTCGCGTCCCTCCCTCCGCCGGACGGCCACCCCGTCTCCGTCACGACCACCTCCACGTCATCTCCGCCGTCGATCTCCTCCAGCGCCGAGTACACCGCATCGACCATTGCGTCGAATATGTTCGTGTAGGTGAGCGAGCCGTCGTGCACAACCGTCGGTCCCTCCTGGAAGAGCGCGTATCTCAGATCCACGTTCATCGGGTCCCCCACGCGCGCGAAGTACGGGTACGCGTTGACCAGAAGCGGACTTTTCTTCTCCGCCAGGAAATTCACGATCTGTGAAATGACGGCGAAGGACTCGTCGGAGAAGGCGCCCTGCGAGGGAGGGTATGAGGTGGACAGCACCCCCATGGAGACGGCGGTGGTGACGGGAATATCGGATATTCCGGCGGCGATCAGGGCGGCGTCGAGGTTCTGGATCGTGCCGGGGACGTACTGCGCGAGGTCGCCGGGGATGACTTCGTTGCCCGCGGAGAGGCAGGTGATGTCGACGGAAGAGTAGTGGGGTAGGATGTTCGTTTCCACCCACGACGCGGCGGCGGATGGGTCGGAGGAGAGGGATTCCAAGTCTTCGTTCAATGTTCCGACGATGACCGAAATGCCGGAATCGTGTAGTGCGGTTAGCACGTCGTGGTCCGGGCTGAAGAGTCGTGTTTTGGAGACGTTTAATTGTTGAAGTTGTGAAATCGTGTCTGCGGGTGCTGGGAGATTGTTCCCTAGTAATCCATAGTTGATGCCTATTGCCCAACCACCTGTAGAATTTCGATAAATTAATAATCTTCTTTAAATAATATGTTTTTTTGTCCCGGCATGCTAAAACATATTTCGTTAAATTAATAGAATTTTACCGTTTCCAACTATATTAATTTATAGAGGTTTAATTGTATATATTTAATTAGTTTCAGAAAATTTATATGTTTTTAATTCAAAATAATTGTATGAAATTCACATACATATGTATACATGCAAGAAATTAAATCAAACGTAGATGTTTTCGTTACCTCGATGAATATTTAGGAACGAAATTACGACGAATGCCACTGCGAATATTCTGTCCATAGTACGTAGAGTTGGCTTCAAAAGAATAGTAGAAGGAATGTTCGAATTAATGTTGGTTAGTTTGGATGATGCATGTCACTATTATTCAGATATTGAGTTTTATAGAAGGAGAGTTTGTTGTTTAACACTAATTAAGATGGTGTCATAGAATTAATTAATTCATTGTTGGCAATTAGTATTAATATGATGGAATATATGGTATTTATGTCAAAATGCATGCTCAAATATTCTGCTATAACTGATTCTATTATTCTTTTTCATACAGTAGAAGTTTCTAATTTCTTATTATTATTATTGAGAGTTTTGAAGTTCAGTACGTTTAGGTAGGCAGATTGAACTTTACCCTGTAATATATAGTTTATACACTTGAAATGTCATATAAAATAGAAATTAGTATCTGAAAATACACCAGCATGTCGTGAAAAATACACGACAACCATAAAATATATAACCGTAAAAACTAGAGAAGAGAGAATTCTTCAAACATTGTGTATTGCCAAATTCGATGTAGTATGTCGATATAAATTTATAAATCAATGTTAGAAAGCACATATATTGCTGCTCAATGATGTATATAATTGTATGCTAGCTAAAACAAGGCCTAAATCTTGAACATTGTTTCTATATAGTTGTTTTGTATAAAGAGACGACCGTTGTCTAAACATGTAAGAGTTTCTAAACGAAAAGAAGAAGATAACGAGCCTGAGACCAATCAATGGAATAATCGCTTAAGATTAATGTACGTAATTGATCGAACACTATTTGAAAAAGAGTATTGTACTCTGCCAAAAAATGAGCCCACTTCAAAGTTTTGCCTTGCAGCTTCTCTACACCTGCAAAACATGCTACGTATGTTTAAAATGCATTCATGAAAAAGTATATATAGTTCGTTATCTTGGTGGAAAAAATCGATATAATTAATACCTGAACTGAATCTACATATTGATCAGCCTAACTGATTATGGCAACTGTTATTACAAGGATATGCACAGTCAATTTCCTTGCTTACTTTTCTTCCAAAGTACCAATCTCCTACAGCTTCTGATATGGTCTGTCAAATGTTCGGTCAACCAAATATAATTAGAAAAAATCGACATGAAATATATGTCGAAGAATATAATGAATTAAAACCTTATTATGGACTCGGGGAGAATCGGGCGCAAACCAAGTGTCTTGAGATTCGCTTTGGCAATGAGCAAAACAAGAATTTATGTACATCCCTCCTCTCGTTGAGTTAACTAAGAAATTCTGCAATGTTTCGAGCATGTATCTCCTAAATCCTGATAAATCAGGACAATAATTGTATGAATATAAAAAATTAATTACTAGTTGTTAAAAAGGAGCATTCCTTAATTAATATTAATACCTTGCAAAGTATTTATCTGGACGGCGTTACAAGCTGCGGGATTAAGCTTGCAATGATACCAGTGTCCGTTAGGATCAGCAGAAGGAGGCACCAATATGTGGTGAAACTGTTAAATGAAATAGATCTCGTTATTTAAATAACTGTCGCATATATAAGAAGCACAAAGGATTATGTATAATGTAATACAAGATAGATCAATCGTACTTGGTACACGTCGTATGCTGTGTTGAGGATGAAATAGGGTGTCCTAATATATGGTAACGCATACTGTGGAAAGAAGCACTGCAACGAAAAAAAACGAGAGCATTATAAACGTATCATTATATAATTCATTTATTTAATTACTAAATGGCTAATGAGAGAAACGGGAGGGAATATGATCGTACTTGTTCGGGATAAGGAGAAAGTGAACTTGTGCAATTTGTATTCAGATTTTTTACCACACCCTGTGAAATATATAATATGTTAGCCGAAAGTGATTAGTGGATAATATAGCTGCAATTTCAACGAAAAATTACTATGTATAGAGATACCTGCAAAGTAACCACGCTTTTGAAGAAATATCTCATGGTGTGGTTCATAGCTATATCTCTTCTGCAAGGACGACAAAATCTCATCATATATATATATACATTACTAAGTCGTAAAAACGAAGTTTAATTAATAAATTGATATTTTTATGCTGTTGCAAAAAAAAAAAAAAAAATAACTTACGCGTCGAGAAAGAATCCAGCATCGCTCAAGCATTTGACACTTGCATTTTTCGGCAAATGAGCGGTGAAATCGTCGCAGTGATGAAACGTAGCCAAACCCCCGGCAGAGCAGCCAGAAAGTAAAGCCTGAAATGTTATATGATATTATAACTTTTTATATAATTCGCATCAATTATATAAGTGGTAGTTCAAAATGAAATCGTTTTAAGAAACGTCTCGTGTCCGTAATCGATGCGAATTATATACGATAAAGACCGTTGTCGTTTTCTATTGTTGTAGTTACCTTGTTTGCTTGTCCCAAGCCTTTGGGGAGAAGATCAAGGATAATTGCTCGCCAGATTCTTTGCCCTCTGAAATAAAGCAATGATGTCTGTGGTGTGGTTCGTTCAGATTAATTAGCATAATATTTATTTAGCTCAAATAAAAAAACTTCGAACAATTTTTTTTTTTTTTTTTGAGTAAATTCAAGTCCATTACAAGGGGAAGTAGGAGAGGGGGGACTCGGACCCTAGACCTTTACCCTATTGATAAGGGCTAGGTACCAACTCTCCTAACGAGGGTTGGTTCGAACAAATTTTCATATACATGAAAAAAATAAATCATATTTCTTTTAAATAAAAAAATGATTTAAAATGTGATTGACTACCTACCCCATTTTTAAAGACAGCATCTCCAGCAAATGAGGCACCATCGCAGTATCTTATCTTTACTCGGTTCCAATTGTAAAAATCTGTCAATTTTTCGAAATATGAGATGACCAACTTATGTAATAATAACTCGGTAAATAGAACTTTAACCCCTTGTATTTTAATATAAACACATAACCCTCTCGTAATTTAAAAAAAAAATATCTTCATAACATGATTATTTACCAAATGAAATAACATAAAGAGGTTATATGATTTTATTAAAAGTGCAATGAGGTCATGTGTACAAAGTTCAAACGACATGGGGTTATGTGCTTATATTGAAAGTACAAGGAGGTCATACATAGAAACCTCAAAACCCAGGGTGCTAAGTGCTATTTACCCATAATAATTTCAAAGAAAATAACTGTTCTCTACAACATGAGTCTGCCCACAGTTAAATATTTGAGGTAATAACAACTGACATTGACTATTCCTTTTCTTTCTTTTGATTTTGTCCCCAAAAAAATATTAAATGTTTTTTACTAAACATTTATTAGCATGTCCGTATAATTTTGGCATTATTACACGGAGGACATATATTACATAATGTACAAACATGTATTTTGTCTGCACACATCAAATAATTGTTTTTACATATATATTAGTTATTGTGTACACTGTACACTTCTCTCTTTTTTTTTTATATATATTTAATTTTAAATAAAAATAAAATTACAAAGATATATATGCACACAAATGAGAGAAGCGAATTGTGGGAAAATAGCTGTAAAAAGGTTTTCTTGGCAGCTGTCTTAACTATTTATGTAGCATTATAGAGAGGAAGCACATGTTTTTGACAACACTATAGTATATATATTGTCAGCAATTTTTGGTATGCGGTTCTGTCCAATTCAAATCAATCACGTAACCAATAAAACTTATTATGTCATTATTATTAGTTATTACTTATCAAATTATTATTTGGTGTGACAATTTTATTTTATGTCAATTAATAAACCGATACAATGTTGTTACACCATATTCAATAAATAATGTTTAGTTGTTAAAATAAGATTAAATAATCTAATAAAAACTCAATTATTTTTATGAAATTCGACGTACCAGGATTTAAGGAGGCATTGTTGCTTAAAATCCCGGAGAAAACCTCGACCTTGCTCATGTAACGAGTCGAACCGCGCCGAGTCGCAGCCCTCTCCAAGCAAGACTTGATATCATTGCACCACCCACCACCCTATCATTTATTCTTTCAATTATTAATTATTTATATATATATTAATTAATATCACATGCCCACTAATTAATAAAGACATCACCCATAATATAAAACACCAGCTCATGAACCACTAATCATTAACACACTGATTTGTGCTTGAAACCTTCCTTTGTCTCGAGGTACATGTACTTTTGTCGGTCAACGATAGTCATACGTATATTTATTTTTAATTAATAATTAGCATCTTGATTAATTAGATACGTCAGATGGGCTAATCATTTTGTTAACAAAACATCACATTCATGTGTGCTGTTTCGGAAAATCCCTTAATTTCAATATCAAATTATTGAAATTATGAATTAAATATATTATGAAATAAAATTTTCGATATAAGTCTAGTAAATGATAATTAAAATAAATAAATAAAGTGTAGATAAAAAAGTAAAATGAAATTGAGCAAGACGACAGGTGGCGGAGATCTGACTTGGCAGGCCATTGATGGGCAAAAACAAGGAACCACATTTATTATTCTTATTAATCATAAATGCTTTTCCCTTTTTGCCCCCACAAAACAGTCAACTATTTAATTTTAATTTTGCTCTAAAAGATTTCAGATAAAAAAAAATGGAAATTTGGAAATTGTAAATGAAATGTATCCAAAAAAAAAATTCAGCAAAACAAAGATTCATAAATTTTATTTATTTACCCCGCCTATGATATAATGAAATAATCGTGGTGATATTCCAAATTCAATTTTTGGAATTAAATCCAATATCCAAAATGTTGGAATTAGTTTACGAATTAGAATTGGGTCGAAAATCATAATCTCATTTTAACTCCAATTTACAAATTGAAATCGGATTATTCCAATTTTAGACATCTGCGGGGTAATAAAAAATAATTTAATTATTCATTTAAAAACTAATTGACAAATATATTTATTAAAGAATAAAAACATGCTTCTTTAAACAAAAAAAAAAAAAAAAAAAGCCCAAAGAGTGTTGTATGCATGGAGAATATTTCCCCTTTTACCCCTCAAAAAGCACCAAAAATTACCTCAAACTGCAAAAGCCAATTGCGTGCACCGGCGCCGAATCCTCTGTCCAAATGATACGCCGGCAAACTTCCGTCCAAGCAATCTGAAAATAATGGCGGAATTTTTTTTATCCAGCAATTAAAAAAAAAAACTCGCCGCCGCGGCGGTGATGGTATATTTAATAATTACTTCCTGAGCAGCAGAAAACATTAAATTCACATCAATGGCGGATTACTTACAAGCTCCGGTGGACGAAGCGTTTTGTACGAGAGTCATTTTCACCAGATCACGCCGCTCGGCCTCCTGCGAATTAATGCGCCGCGGCGCGGCGCAGGTTAGCAGGACCAGCACTAATTTTATAAATGTGCACGCGCTCATCTTCTCTACTGAACTCTTTTCGTCTCTGATTTTTTCTTCATGTGGACGGAGATATATAATTTATGTATATATATATATCTAGAGAGAGAGAGAGATAGAGAGAGAGAGAGGGTGAGAATTAGATGCGGATAGTTTTGAAAACAAAATTGGAGCTTGAATTTTCTGCCAATTTTGCAATCAGATTACGTTGAAATGTTGAAAATAATTAATTACGGGTATCCAATAAAACGGTTTTCAGATTCTTTGATTAATTGCGTTGAATGCGAAAATAGTATATTTGGAAGCTAAGAATATCAATAAAAAATTAAATTCGAGGAGAAAACAGAAGGGGAGGGAAAGGGAGAAAACCCAGAGGTGTATGAAATGAATATCGAATGGGGCTGTAATGTAAAGAAATGGAAATTTTTGGGGTGGATTTGGAATTTAGCTGGTGTTGGGGGGCCCAATTAGGGTAGCAACTATGAGGTCCCTGTCAGCAAAATGATGGCGGTGAGAAAATTGAGATGAAAAAAGTGAAGTTTGTTGTGTTTGATCATGGTTAAGTGGGTCGCAAGTTGCTTGGGATGTGGGCCTCTTTCTTACATGTTTATAATATTGGACATCATTTTTAATTAAATAATTGTTTGAGTTACGATTGGACCAGTTCAATCTAGTCGATTTTGTTCGAGGAGTTCTTAAAGAATTGAGAGAATATTCGCACAATTAATAAATAATCGAAGGTTTTTGCTTCTTTATAAACCATCGGTCACAACCAACCCTCATTAGAAGAGTTAGTACCTAACGTTACCAATAGGGTAAACGGTCTAGAGTTCGAGTCTCCTCCTCCCCGACTTCCTCTTGAAATGGACTTAAATTTACTCAAAAAGAAAAAATAATAAGCCACCGATCGCAGAAGTCCGGGATTTTGATACCCGCAGTATTACTATCGAATCTCGTCACATGGTTGGCGTGGGAATTTTGTGATATTTATGAAAATTACATTCAAAACAATATATATTCCTCATTGAACATCGATGTAAATACTTCATTTCAATTCATTAAAATTAAAAAAAAAAAAAAAAAAAAAAAAAAAAAGGAAAAGAAAAATCATTCAATGGCCCAAATTAAAATTTGAAAATAGAAAGGGAAAAGAATAAAAATTTACAAATTAAATATAAATTCTAGAAATCACATTGAAATTATAAACATTCAAGTACATTCATCAAACATGAGTTACTATTTATATTATATGTATAATAGCAAATGAAAAGGAAATATTAAAAAAAAAAAAAAAAACTAGTAAATGTTATGCATAATTCCTAAGAGAGAAAAAAAGAAGGTGAACTAATCTGCAATCTAAAGGGGGTAAAACTGTGAATACAGATGATCGCGAATGTTGTAATATTCCTCCGATAAGGGACCTTCGAGAATAATGTGCTGAATATTACCACCACCCTGCACCGAAAATACCAGAAAAAGTTTCGATTTTCATGGCTACTGAAAGATAATAATATTAGAAATTAGCCTTTTGATTAAAATCAATCAGAAGAAACCAACCTTATGGCTCGAATCTCCGACTTTTCGCAGGGTCACATACTCACCGCATCGCAAAGCCCCTCCAGCAAATTCCACCTGAGAAACGCCAAGTGTATGCATGAAAGCTGGCCCAAAAGATAATTTGGCGGTTAAAACGAGAGATAGCTACAAAATATACCTGGATTCCTTTGCTCGCGAGAAATTGCTTGAAATCTGCCATTTTTATATCGCCCACCAAGACTGTCTTATGTGGTGGTGGAGGAGTTGTTGAAAGAGGAAGCAAAGACAGTGTATCGCTTTCTGTCTTGCCTACTACAGCATCAACCCATGCTATTTCGTAATCTCCAATCTATAACAAAATGCATTATATGTGAAAAATGGAGAAAATACATCTAAAGTATATTGAGCGAGGGGGTGGAGAACGAAATCTGTCAACCGAGCCACTAGCTCAAACGGCAGCTAAATCCAATGCCAACATGTATCAGCATTCATTTACTCAAATATTTATACGACAAAATCTCTATACAAGTGACATTACTGTTTCCCGACTGAATTAACTAGACCAAATGTAGAGATTTATCGGCCAAGAACGTAAATGCGGATGTGGCAAGTTCTCTAAATCAATTAACAGTATCTCCCTTTCTACATACCCACTATAATTAACACATTCCTATCAGACGTAAAGATCTACGTACACCCCTGTCAGATATAAATATAATTACCTTCTTAAACAGGATATTGCTCATTAATTTCTCGGAAAGTTGAACCTATATCAGAAAATAAATACATGATTAGTCCCAGATTGCAAAAGTAGATGCTAAAAGAATAGTTTCATAAGAAATTGTGCGTATTCTTGTGTGAAGCTCACTTTATAAGCGCACAAATCTGAAGTGACATCAATTGATTCTTCAATTTGAGGAGCATATACATCTGGGCAAACATTTTTCAAACAGTATTCCTTTAAATGCTCAGTGGCTTCGGCTGAGCCATGCACCAAGACCTTGAAGACATAAAACAATATAGACAAACGCGTTTATGCACTATAGTGACAAATATATTGGCAAATTAAATAGCTACATAATCAAGGAAAAAACTAAAATAAATTCCAACAGAAAAATGCATACTGGAAAGGTTGCTAATTACCTTTTTGGTTCAAAATGTAAATAAAAATATAACTACGAAAAAGAATTTTTGCACCAGTTCAAAGAAAATGATTGCTGCATAGTGAGGTTGAAATCAGAACCAATTTTCCTCCATGATATGAGATGTGAAAAACGTTTTAATGATGCGAAAAGCACAAAAGAAGTCCTCACAAGTTTTAATGGGGAAACGTGGCCTAGAATCTTCTTCATTGAGCTGCCATCAGAACGACCTTCAAAATCCATATAGACCAATGAACACTTGACGTATACCTGCATTTGGAGAGAAGTGTCCAATAAAACAACATTAACATTATTCAGCGTTAGAAGCAGAAGCTTGAAAGTTTGGGAAAAAAAGATCACTGGCACTGAAACCAGACAGGGAAACTGTGCCTGAACTAAGATTTATAAGTCATATAAGATAGTTCACTGAATGGTTCTTCTAAAAGGTATCAAACACAGAGCAGTGACTTCAGACCTCACGCTGTATAAGCACAAAACTGATATAGTATATCCTGAACTAAAAACTTATCAGCAAGATCCGGACTTAAGTCAATTTGCATTTATAGTAATCGTAGTATTGCCACATAAATTGTCATATATATATATGAATGTGGAATGAGATTTGCAAATGCATTTTGATATTTGATGGTGATACCAAAATGCCAGGAAGTGTTTGTCTGGGGTAAAGAAGCAGATATGCATATCTAGATAGAAACTGACAAAAGATCAAGCAAGAAAGAACAAAGTACAATTGTACATGACGAAAACAGAAATAGCTGCATATTATCGTACTACTGAAAAATAATATCAAGCATCGTGCTAAAACATGATTTGACAAAATTCTCACACCAAAAGGAGAATAAAGGAAACAAGCAACAACTAATATCCAGAAGATAGCTACCCAAAGTCATGCAGATCTTTATTTATCAACAATCTTTTATCATGTGAATTGAAACAACCAATCTAATGTTTACCACACATTACTTTTCTTCTTTATATCTTAGGCAGGGGATGGAGAAGAAAATTGTAATGTAACAAGATTAGGTGGAAAAAGAAGAAAAAAAATTACTTTCACATATATAACTTTAGTTTCAACCAGAGCAAGCTATTGATCAGATGCAATAAATATAAGGCAGGTAAGACGTACTGTTAGCTCAGAAGATACTACTTTTGATGGTGTTGTATCAAGCATCAGACTCGCAGCTGCTTCATCAAGCTTCCCGTTGAGGTCACCATCAACCTAGACAAACAATGATGTGAGATTCATAGCTACTAGGTATACCCAGCCGGATATTTCTCTAATTAAAATTTAACGAACAAAGTTTTAAGCAAACCACAAAGACGTCAAATGTTACAGGCCAAGTTCCAAGAATTACTCAAAGGTAAGGTTTCTTTTTTGCTCTGATTAGTGTGGCGTGGACATTTCTAATTGTAAAAGATAATTAAAGATGCGAGTGCAAGATGCACAAGACAAGGTATAGTAGTATACTACAGAAACTCACTTGCATAAAGGACTGGTCCATGTCTTCATCCTTGATTGTATAATCGTCGGGATTGATGACCTCACCAAAATCATCCCATTCTGAGGTGTTTTCATAGAAGGGGAACATGGGACCCGCACTAGATGGTGGTGAAACAAATCCATCAATCAATACATCCCTGAAAGCTCCATGTTTCAAACCAGAAGCTGCAAGGATGTAAAGAAAATGATTTTCCCGCAAAATTTATAGAAAACAGAGGGGATTTCCAATGTCAGGCACAAACACAAGGAATGGGTATACTATCTTGTATGGTTTTGACGCAAAATGGGGAAACAAATTGATCTGGCTACTGAAATGAAGTGAAGTTCAAATGTAATAATATAGAAATCTAAACCTTTCGATTTAACAGAACTGCAAGGAACAAAGTGTGACTAACGGGGCCTGGGCTCTGCAAAGTTGTCCACTATTCTGCTCCAAATATTGGTTATGGCCAAAAGAGTTAAGGTGCTAATGAACTTTTTTCTTTTGCTGTGAAGCAAATAGTAACTAATCAGCCTTAATATTTTTGTCAGTACGTCTTTCAGGTTATTCAGCTTACTTGGGAAATGTGTTCCAAACTGATGTCCTTTACTCTAATATGGATTCGTTAAAATCAAGAGAGACTGAAAGGACATTTTTAACTATATACATCTCAAAAAAGGAAAAGTATAAGATGATATAGCAAGTAGACTGGATAGTTCAAGAATACCTTTTGAAGAAGGTTGTTTGATGTTTGCATCAATAATCATAGGACCACCAACTGCGAGCTCCTCCCCAAGAGACGCTTTTGCTTCCTCTTCTTTGATCAAAGAAGCTTTAAGGGATTCTTCCTTTCTTTTCTGAGTTTGCTCTTCTTCATAAGCAGCCAACTCCTCTCCAACCAATGGGATTCTCTTTGACATAGTAACTTTAACCGCCTTCGGAGGAGGATCTGATTGAAGCATACGAGCCAGTGTGGCAAACTAAAATGCGAAGATATCAGTATAGATGTAAAGGTGACATTAGCAGCAGGTAAAATGGAACCAGTTATTTTTCTCTGTACTTCTATTTATTTTTAGGTGTTAGGCAAAAATTGAATAGCAGAATCTACCTTTTTTAAATCTGAATAATAGTAACTTTTTTAGAATAAACGGATACAAAAATAACAATAGTACAAAAACAAGTTTTTTGAGAGGTGTGGATAATAACTACAATCATATGGATGAATTCAATTACAAATGCAATTTATTTTGTAGTGCTGAAACTTGATAATGTGGAAACACCATGTATTGGAGACATTAGTTTCACTGACAAAGATATAAAAACAATAAATTGGAGAGGGAACAATAACGAGCGCCAATAATAAGTCATAGAACAAAATATGGTCTTAAAGGAAAGTTCGTTGGAACTTGAATTAGCACACATAGGATTAACAAAAAAAGATTTAGAGAGATTAATCATGAGTTTAAAAAATGGAACTTGCACTGCCATACCAATGATTTTAAAAGATGACAGCATCTTTTAATTGCAGAACTTTAATAAGAAAATCCCCTTAAATTCATATAAAAGGTTGATTGGTTATAATCGAAACATACCTGGGCCCTCTCAGTAAAAAGTACAAGGTTCTTCGAGTCAGCAGCCCATTCAACAAAAATATCATGAGAAAATCCAACCTCTAAACTTGCCATAGATGCTAAGACAATCTGATCAAAATGCAATATAATGTAAATAAGAAAACCAACAGAGTTATCAAAATATGATTTCATGAAGTTATCAATAATCCTACTAACCTTTGGGCCATCAGGAACTTTTTCAAGCTCGCTCTTGCTGACCAAAAGAGTTATATTTCTGCAAAAAAATTGCACAACATCATTAATGAGATCCTATCACAAGAATTTTGATTTGAATGGTATCAGCTACAAATTATATATGACAGTACTGAGCAATCTCACATAGCAGAACAAGCGAACAGGACAAAGTGTTATTGAAAAAACCAATTTCATTTCACCTTTGCTCTCTATCTGAATAAAAATTATTTGTAAAGTGTCTAGCGGACACAGATCACATGCAAAAAGTAAACTAAATCAATGGCAACACATCGAGGTCCAAGTTAGTTTGTATATCGGGTGGTGGATATATTTCAACCGTAAAGGACGTTAAACTGCAATATTCATTCAGCAATTCAAAATCTGAATATTTTTTCTACTTCTGTTCACTTTGTTCTACATATTCTTGAAGCCTGTAAAGAATAAACTAAAAACTGATAAATAAAACACCTTACTTCAAAACAAAAGCATTCTCTCGTGTGTTCTCGAATGATTTTGCTATTGAGTCACTCATCCACTCAAGAAAACTTTTGACGTAATCAATCGTGCTTGAAGAAACATATGTCAGGAAGTAGATAGGATATGTTAAGTGGTGCTGCTCCCAAAACTGCAACATTATTTATAAAGTAAATATTGGTAATGGATAGACAATGACCTCAATGGAAAAAAACTATTTAAAAAGTTGACCTACCTGTTCCAGTATTAAAACTAGCTCCAACACTCGACCAGCAGTATCTACAGGTACTAATATCTTTCCATCTGTTCTCAGTGTCTTCAGTATGGTATCTAAAATGCATAGAAAGTACGGAAAATTTATTTTGTCTCTTTAACCAAAAATCTAAGGATT